CTGTGGATGATGCCGTTAATATAGACAACAGTAAACCAATAAAGAACGGTACATCTATGAACACCAATGCGAAAAGCAGTAAGATGTGCAGCCTACTTTGACACGCGATTCACGTTTTCATAATGCGGATACTGTAGAATACTTTATTTTCGCTTGGAATTTATTTTCGCTATTTTCGCTGAAGGGCATGATTCCGTGAAAATAAAATCCAGCGAATATACTTTTTTTCCTATATTTCACATTAAACTCATCAAAAATCAGTGAAAATAAATTCCATACAAAATGCCTAAAAAGCCTTTTCAGCGAAAATTAAATCCAGCGAAAATAAAGTATTCCACAGTATAAATATGATAAAAATTACATCATAACGCCATGTTTATTAATTCTCCTTTCTTCAGTACAAGTATATTATTATATATTTGAAACCAAGGAAGTCATTTCTTGAGTTTTATCATCATAGACACACCCCCTTGGACCCATACTAATTGTGAAAAAATACTTGTACATACAGTACTCTATGGTTAAGGTGTATCTAAGAATCCAGAATATGAATACAGAAAGTAATACTGAATCATTAAGCTTTTCAAAACTAAGCAAATACATAAAACGAATAAGAGACATTACATGTATATTTGTTACTGCTCTGAGTGAAAATAGGTCTTGGTCACATTTACAAGCAATCAACATTACTAGTATTACTAGTGTTGCTCACCTACTGGAAATGAATTTTGATGTAAACTTTCACTTCAGCAAAGTCACATGATTGAAGTAATAAGGTGATAGATCCATAAGATGTGATTATCGCTTACTGCCAAATACTGTATTTGAGTGAACTGTATACATGCAGAGTATGGAAGTCTACAATAATTTCTTGGAAACCGATTCTGATTATCTGCAACTCTGGTATCTGGTATATGGTTGAGTTCCTGTTGGTTTTCTTCCCTAAACTCATTACCCCTTTGTATTTCAAATCTTTCACATCAACTCAACCTAAAGTAGATGTATATATATATATATATATAAATATGCAAGTCTATATAGTGCATCATTTCTCTGTGAAATATATTATAGTAAAATAATTATTTCATTCTTATCGTGCTTTGGGCAAACTTATTTCAAAAGCTGCATAATATAAATATATTTTTTTCCCCCGAGATATGTAAATATTGAAAGATTAATTTATGGATGTATGTACAAGGGAAATAAATATACGTCTTGTTTAATGCTCACTGCTCGATTGGGCAAGTTTGTGTTTATTTCAAAATAAAATAATCAAAGTAATCAAATAGGCACAACCATAGTAATTCTATATCTTATTGGATTAAATAATTTGCAAAATACATGATTCTGACGTGAAAATGAACTGGAATATATGGGCGGTCATAGTAAATATGTTTAGATCATCAGAGTAGTACCGGTAGTTAAAATGTGCAATTTAGATACGTTGTATGCAACACAAGCACAATAAGAATACAATGAATAGATGAATGCACGAGACAAATGTGAAAATAATGACTGGGTGCACAAAAGCCAGGACTGTACTCTTTTAAAACACATTGCCATTTGGTCCACACAATACGTGTTTTTTTTCAGCAATGCAGTATAGAAATTACCAAGTTAGATTGACTGGTTTCAACAAACCTTTCTTGACCCAATTTTCTTTTTTTTCAATTCCAGTTTCAATTAATTGCAATTAATTAGACTCATAAGAAAGACATGAAAGCATTTCCACAATTCTTTTTATTTTATTCAGATTATTTGTAATAATAGTACTACATAGATCATCAAATAGACCACACCTACTTGAAAACGCACAATGACAAAAAAACAACTACCTGGGTGTATCTGAAGCCATTAACGTGCTACTATCGTGCTAATATCGACAAAAAATCACTAGAATATTTTAGTGCACAGTAGTTTATTATTTTAATTAAAGTCTATAAACTATTATATTAAGTTACCAACGTTTTTGGCCAAATATCTTCACATGTTAGCCTGACAAGGTCGCGTGAGTTGCGCCCTTCGTGATGCTCCAAACTCAACACACGCCTGACAGAACAACAGTTTTTTACATCCCCCCAATGATTTTTTGTCAGAACCAATCAAATTACAGGAATGTCAGATAGTAACAGCCAATAAAGAATAAGCATTCACTGTAGAGTTTGTTTGTTGACATAAATGATAAGGTGCTGGCAAATTTCCACCCAATGTTTATCATCTCATAAAAACAGTCTGTGATTTTTGTCAACAATGCAAACGCGGCTTTGACTGATGGTGTTACCATGACCACCAAAATGAATATTCATTGAAACTCTTTGCATGAACTTTGCGAATTTGCAGTATTGATCGGCCGGCGAGGGCGCCACTCACGCCTACATGTCAGACTACTTCACATGCCAGCTTAAAAAATTCCTTGTCTACATTTCAGTACATACAAATGAAAAACCACGCATTGCACATTTGAAATCACACTGTTACACATAACCATGGTTACTAAGCGTGACATAACCATTACCTCAAATGAGAAGTTCAACCAGAGAGGGCGCTATACACAATTTTTGTTTCTTGTTTTTCGGCTAAACTCCGTAAAAATGTCATGCATTTCAAGTTCATACATTTTGCATATTTTTTTTTCTCTTTATAAAAGGAAGATCTGAATTTATATAAAATAATTATAATACTGTAACATCGAAAGGTAGACAATTTGATGTTTAGAAAAATTGCAGTTATAAAACGTAATACAGTATGTGATCACATCTAGTTTCTACAATACAATAAAATTTGAGTGGACATTTTCTTGACCAATGAGAATATTTGACAGATCATTAGTCTGGCTTGATCAATGAAAGCTGCATCATGATTGGTACAATCATATACAGCATATCTAAAATAATTTGAGACACTATTTTCAAGAGCACAATATGATGTGTAATATAACATACCTCAATAAACAATTCCAGATTTAACAAACATGATCTGGTTAAAATATTTGAATATAATTATGGGGAATTTAAAACATCAATAAAAAATTTAACTACTAAAAAAAAAAGCACTGTATTTTAATACATTGGATTATGGGATGGCAGAATGATGGTCATTGGTGGGATTGAGATATACCGGGGTACATCTAATTTTCAGAAATTCATTTATAAACAGATGTTAAAACTACATTTATTCTAATTAATGACTGTCCCCTAATTTGCTGCAACATTCAAATTAATGTAATTATAATTAATGTTCTTCTTAACCTTTTCACCACCAGTCTTCTCGCTCAAATTTTTCCGAACTTTTTTTTTTATATTCTTCAATATTTCTGGAATTGAACCCTAATTTTGGAGCCAACAGACATAATTTAAGTCGATTTTCAATTTTTATTCAAAAAATTTGGCTATTTTGGTACCACTCTTCTGAAGGAAAATGCAGACTATAAACAGGACTATTTTGTGAATTTGTGATGAAAAAAGGGAACTACCGGTAGTGGTGAAAAGGTTAATCGCACATATCCAGACTGTAAATACAATGGCTTCTCAAACCACTGCATTACACTTAAATTACCTCCACCAAATACTGTAAAATACTTTATTTTAGCTGGAATTGATTTTCGCTGAATATACTTTTCGGGTGTTTTGTATGGAATTTATTTTCACTGATTTCTGACGAGTTTAATGTAAAATATAGGGAAAAAGGTATATTCGCTGGATTTTATTTTCACTGAATCATTCCTTCAGCGAAAATAGAGAAAATTAATTCCAAGCAAAAATAAAGTATTCTACAGTAGTGTGCTTCTGTCTTCTGATTTCTGGTAACATTGAAAACAAAAATGGAACATTTTGCAAAATTAAAATTTTATAATAAATGATGAAGTAACATACCTCGTTTGGGGAAACATTTTTGTGCAAAGAAATTTGTTCAGCACATAGCTATATGTATATGTAGAAACAGGAAGTGAACACCTTCTAGTGGCCACTTTTCTGTTTAGCCATTAACAAAATTACAGGGTTGGCAAGCAAAATCTAGGTGAGGCTAGGTTACTGGAAACACACTATTTTTATTTCATTTCATTTGGCCAATATACAGAATATTAACCCATATCCTGCCAAGTTCCGTGTACTTTTACGTTGACTTGACCAGATTATAAAGGTTAAAGTTAAATTCTGTGAATTCAAACAATGGATTTTGCTTCATTTTTGTGTCCGTAGTTAAATT